TGGAGAAGTTCAATTATGCCTAAGATGCACAGTTAATAGCACTGGCACTGAATAAAACCCAAATTAACTTTGTTTCCATTATGAAACAGGGTAGTATTCGCCCATAAATTTATATTCATATAAGTGGTTTGGCTCTTGATTATGTGACTAGCTTTGTGAAACTTCTGTACTTAAATACTGTTTTCAGACTTGGAAACCTGTTCAAAGCTCTGGATATTGTCCAGCTTTCAATTCCCAGCTGTATCATTGCTCTGTTGAGAAAACTTGAGGCCAGACTCTGACTGGACTTGCTCAGGGAGGAGTTTGAGTAGGAAGCGGATTAGCCTCGGATGGGGAATTCAGTCTCACTGTAGTTCCTCAGTGGGTTGCAGAGGGGACAGACAGGACAGGCACTGCTCCTTAGGCTGGATGCTGGGACTGGGGTTTGCCAAAGTGGAGCCAGAACTGAAGTTAAAAACGTCTTCTGACTGCCGTGGTACGATCCTGATGACAAACCGCGCTTGGCGAGGGGAGCAGCTGAGAATACTTATTTGTGTTTCAATAACTGACCTTACTCATCACATCACTCTTTGCAGTTTTGAAGTGACCTGAACCGTTCCCTGAAGGAAACAGTGACAGCAGCAATCTGAGGAGCATGAGTGGAAGTAATGAAGCAGTAATTAGCAATTAATGAAATGTGGTGAAACTTTTAACTGTGGCGCTGGCCTAGAGGTCTGGTGCTGGACTGAAGTAGTCCCTTGGAAATCTACAATTCTGAAGCTTAATTATCATAATTTCCTTTAGACACCATCTGCTCCTAGAGCCAACTTGTATATTTAGTTTTCCCCCTGAAGGTAGATGAGTTTTAAGGGCTGCATTTCTGTGGCTTTTCACAGCAGAGATTAAATTGAAGCTGGGAGAGAAGCATGGAGAATGAGATGGCCTTTGTGGCTGATGTGTCCTGCAGAGGCTGGAAGAGCCAGCAGGGTGTCAGAAAGGTGTTTGGATATAGAAGGAACTGAGAAACATGGGCAGAATCTTCTTGGTAGTTGGCAGAGGGGTATTGCCTTGTTTCCAGAGGGAGTATAAATCGAAATGCTGCTGTCTGTGTGCTTTTCTCTTCCCCTTCCCACCTCAAGCCCTTCTGAGCCATGTCTGGAAGATGACAAGGTCTTTCAGATACTGTGATAATGAAAGGCAAAGCCTTCTAAGGAAGTTACCACTGGGTTACTAACTGCAGGCAAACCCCAAAGTCAGAGGCCAGTGAGGCTCTTCTGAGGATGAGGGGGATGCACAGTGGAGGCTCTTTGCTCCTCAGATCCCTTGTCGTGTGTTGCTTTACCAGTCGTGTGATGATTTATTCCTTGCTAAGCACTGTAAAGTCAGCTAAAGCCAGGAGCCAAACTACATCACCACTCCTTGCTCTCCTAAAAATGAGCCTGAAAAATGGGCCAATCACGAAAACAAACAGCAGAACACCACCAAGCCTTCCCCTCAGCCCCCACCGTGTTAATCATTGATGGCAGGAGCTAAGAGCAAGTCAGGAGAGTCAGGTTAGGCTGAATTATCTTTTGGTTTCAGCTATAGGAGTGTCCTGTGGGCTTGAAGAGAGGAAAAACACTTTTCAAGCAGCAAAGGTGAGAAAATGGGACACGGGAATTTTGGAAGCTGTCAGTGCAATTTTGGACGTCACTCGTTCGCACTGAAGGCTTCTATTAAGGATTCTATTTTGTCTTGTGTAAATCAGTTTTAATTAATAGAGCAGATGCACCAACAATGCATCTGGAAATGAAATGGAGGAGAAAAGAAAAGAGGCAGCTGGTGCTAGTGGATGTAAATATTTGGTTTTTGGGAAGTGAAGCTCTGCAGAAACTTCAGGCTCCATTTCAAATTCAGAAGGCTGTTTCTTATGCCTGTGAAGATATATGGAGCAGAAAAAATTAACTAAACCATAATGCTTTGTTTGATTCCAGTGCATGTGATGTAAGTAGCCTAAGTTTTTGGAAGAGGGCCAACACATGAAATCCTGGTTCCTGCTGAAATATTAAGGCCTCGCCTCTGTTGATGCAAGATGCATTAATTCCAGAGGAGCTGTCTCTGTACCTAGAAGCCTTTCCAGGCCTCTGCAGCACAGTCCTGGTTTATGAGCATGGGCACATGGATGTGCTAATTTTTGGCCCACTAGAGCAGAGCAAGGTGCAGGGATGCTACTGAAGCAGGGGCTGACTGGCAAACCAGTGGAAGAGGTCTATGTATCTGAAAGCTGCTACTGGGGAGGTGTGGCAGGAATGTGTATGGACTCTGAGCTTCATGTGAAGCTGAGGGTTTAAAAAAAAAAAAGCAAGACATAAATTAGGGCTTTGCATGTTTTGATGGGAGTTCTGCTGTGTTATTTTTGAGGACTCTCAACTGCAGAACAATCTTTCAAATCTTCCTCACTTCCTTTCAGTATTGAACTTTTCATGAAATCCCAGACTATTCATGTTAGAATTTGGAGAGCTTTTTGTTCTCTTTTGTGGTTTTTTTTTTTTTGTTAATGCCTGTAACTGCTAAGAAGAATTTGAAAACACAAGCCTAAAAGCACAAAGTACCACAGCAATAATAGAAAGTAAAAAGCAAAGCAAATCCACTTCTAAAGCAAGTCATGTCTGGTGAGTGGTGATGTCCAACCTGGAACAGGCAGTGCTGGAGAAGGAAGGCAATAAGGAAGGGTTGATCCAGAGAAGATATTTTCTACTTGGTTAACTAGACAGTGGGGAAGGGAAGGATTCCTTGAAGTAGGAAAAGTGGTGGCACAAGTATTGTTAATGCTTACTGCAAGCTCTCTGAGGATGAGACAGACAGGATGCTTGCACCCAGCCTTGCCTGTATAAATTATGGTCTTGGGGTTTGTGCTGGGATGCTGAGAGTGCCCCACAGCAAGAGGGAACACCTCCAAGTGGCAGTACAGCTTGGAGGTGGGCAGGATCTGGATCAAGGTGAAGCTCCCGTCCTTAAGAATTGTGGAAGGAAGTTTGCAGAAGTGAGTCGTGCTGCTGCTGCTGAAGGGGTTGGGTTTTCCAGACCTGGGAGCAGATTATTGCCCTGTTTATACTGTGTTTGCATTGTGAAAGCTGGTGCACAGGAACGCCTTGCTGTCTGTCCCTTCTGTTTCAGAGCTCTGCTGTCAGCTGTTTAATACCCTGCTCTGGTTACTGTTGTCATTCTCCTGCTTTCCTTCATCCTTCATCCCTAATTGACCTTGGGGAGCAGCAGGAAGGTGGTGATGAAAATGTAATGGATTGGAAGAGGTAGCAGGACCACTGGCAGTGAGGGATTTGTCCAGTGTTCAGTCTTGCAGGTGAAGCAGCTGAGATCTTTCAGAAGGGTGATGTGTTTGAAGATGGGTCAGGCAGGGTCAACAGGACATGATGAAGTTTAATTTTGCGTTATAAAGGGGTTATCCACTCAATTTCAGGCTAGTAAGCAGTTAGTTCTTGGTATTTTAAAAGCAGTTAGAATCTCCTTTACTACTTTTGTCACTACCAAGTGTTGTATTGGCAGCTGGCAACCCCAGTGGTCTTGCTTCTGTCTCTCCATCTTCCATGCCACGTGTGCTATCCTTGTGGGTTTAGGTTGTGTGTGTGTTTCTGAACTGCCTGCACACATTCCTCTGTCCCATTGTTTCTTACAGGAAAGGTTAGACTGTGGTCAGTCACACTTCCAGGATCCTCTGCAGGTAATGGGATGCCTGAAACTGTAGTTTGACTCTTCGGGGAATCAGTGCAGAACCAGAATTTAGGTTTGCAGAGCCAAAATGTCTTGACAGCAATGACAAGAAGGATGCAAAGCATCCAGCTGTGAGCCCCTACCCACTGGTTGTGCATGGCTCCATCACCCCAAGCTGCAGAAGTTACTGTGTGGAAAAGGAAACTAAATGGAAAAGGTGTTATGCTTCTATCTGACTTTTTCAATTCCCTCACTACAGCCAGGGCTGCTCTGACTGTGTCCTTAGGGTGCTCCTTTCATGTCCTGGTCTTCTGGGACTTGAAGGGTGATGAAAAACATGCCTTCAGGCCCAGTGCACTGAGCCAGGGGCTCTGGCAGGTGGGATGAGGCTGTGCCTGGAGAAGGGATTTGTCTAAATGCAGCTGAGCTGTAGCCACCCCACCAGCTTCCAGTAGCACCATAAATTGTGCAGGGCTTGCTCTGTGCCTTAGCTGACTAAGTGAAGTGTCTGATAACCTGTTGTCTGATGTTGAAGTGCTGGGGTAACCTTGCTCCTTAGGGTAAATGGGAAGCCTTGGAAGCAATGCTGTGGCAACAGGAGTGCTGTAAAGCAACAGGAGGGAGCAATTAGTCAAATAACACTGTCAGACACTGCAGACCTTTGATGTGGTGAAAGGAATTAATACAGCACAGGGCAGAGGGCACAGGAATGTGTGTCCTACATGGCTTGTTGGGGAAGACTGATGTTTGGCAAGGATTTGAGGTGCCCATTTCCCACTGAGCCTTGGGATGCAGATCTCAGAGCTGGGTCTGTTTGGATGGAGCTCTGCTTCAGAGCTGCACTTCAAAACCTGGTGGAAAATGTACCCACAGGGGGGACTGTAATTGCCATGTATTTTGCCCATAATGATATGGGGGAAAGAACAGGGGCAGCTGTAAGGAATAAATGAGATGAGATATCTGATGACTCCCAGATCTCCTTTTTCCTGGGTGTTGTTAGGTCTGCTGAGGAAGGCAGGAGGTGGGAGCCTGAGTCTCCTCAGCTGTGCTGGTGCCTTTTTTTTTTTTTTTTTTTAAATACTGTATTAGCAGTGGGGTGCTTGTTAGAAAGCAGGAATCAAGAAGGGAGACCTGGGCCAAGCTCTTTGCTAGCAGAGTGTGCTGAACTCTGTGCCCTTGTGCCAGAAGATAATTTGCCTCCCAGTGCTGGAGGGCTGAGCAAATACCCCCAGCAGAAGGGAAACAATTTGCTCAGGCAGGTTTCCCCTGCCCTTTCCTTTTTGCTTAAGGAAAGAGAGCAAGCCCCGGTGAAGATGGGGTCACTGGCACAGAAGGTGAGTCATGGAGTTATTTTCAAAACTAGAATTACCTTCGTGAAACTAGAGCAGAAGAGGAAGGTTGGGGTGACTGAGCTTTGGATTTAGCTTCTGCTGTGGCCCCGAGGAGCCCATGAGCAATTGCCCATCCTACTACAGGTGACTGTGAGCAGCACAGCCCACTCTGGTGCCTGTTGGATCAGGAGGGAGCTCCTCTTCCCCAGCTAGAGAAGAGGTGGTGTCCCATCCTCCTTTGGAAAAAGAGTGGTTTTGGTCTGCATCTGGGCAGCAGAAAGGGATGTTTACCTTGTGACACAGAGGTACCCCTAGGGCAAAGCAAAGGACTGAGGACTTTTTTTGATGGATGTTAATTCTCATCCTGATTTCGTGCCGTCTGAACAGTTTTGTCGAATCCTGACTGTTCTCCCCGGCCGCCCATCACCGACCCCCGTGCTTTGATGGCTCTTGTCACAAATGGCACGGTAAAAAAAGATCTCAGTTGTTTTATCTTTCCTTTTTTTCCCCCCTTTTGAGAAGTCTCATTTACTTTTTTTTTTTTTTTTTTGCAGCTGTCCTGACTCCCTTCCCCCCTATCATTACCGGCAAGCAATGTGGCAATTAGGGCTGGTCGCCCCCGGGGGGAGGTGAGCTCTGCTGGCTTTGAAAGAGTTTGCAGCACTGTCCTTTGTGCTCGTCTCCAAAGCTTTTCTCTTCTCCCCGCGCAAGGGATTTTAATCTTTTGCAGTTCCACGTATAGGAACATCTGTAACGACAGAAAAATGTCTGGCACCTGGATCGGTTTCATGAAGCCTCGGCTCTTTTAATCTTCCCCGGGTGGTGCATTGCCCCACATCACCTCTCTTCCTCCTTCTCTCCCCTCAAAGGATATCTCAGAGGTGATGTAAAGGCATCTGTCACTTAAATATTGATGTGCCAAGCAAGGGCAGAGAAAGCAGCAGGGGTGTCTCTCTCTTGGAGCATCGGCCCTGATAGTTCTGGTGCCAGATGGGGGCACCTGGGAAGGGATGGTGAGATATTCAGATCCACGTGCTCCTCGCTCTGTCAGTCTCTCTCACACCTTTCTTTCTTCCACAGGCTTTGCCCCGTCCCTTGCTCAGGCTCTGTGGCTGTTTGGCTGCCCCAGGCCAAGTGGCTCTTGTGGCAATCGAGCTGGTCAGAGACAGCAGGACTTGAACTAATAAGGAGGATTTTGTGCTCTGTCTGCTCTTGCTGAAGCCGCTTTCATCACCATTTCAGAACACCAGCCTGATGCTGGAGTTGAATCAGACCTGAAACTTTGGTGTAGGGAACAAAGGATGGGGGGGTTTAGAAGCCAATGCCTAATCCTGTGGGCACCAAGAACACTGTTAGTGCTGTTTCTTTGATAACTTGTAGGAGGCATTTTATTTTGGGGTTTGTGTAAGGTGGTTTATTATAAAGCAATCCAGTGCAGCTGGAAGCTGGAGGCAAGGTTATTTATTTCAGTGCTTTGAAGAGCTCTCCTCCAGTGGTAGCTGTCTTGCTGCTGCAGTGGCTGGTTTTATTTTGCTTTGGAGCAACTGAATAGAAGTGTTCCTTCCATTTCATTTTCTCTGAGGTGAGAAAATTCCTGGAAATGTGCTGACGAAGTTAAGGAATGTTTTAATCTTTTTTCCCTGAAACGGATTGAGTGCAGCTCCTGGAAAGCCAGGGTTTGGAAGCCTGGGAGCACTGACTCCATCTGAGAGGTCTCCTGATGGGCAGGGCAGGGCTGCAGGTGTGGCTGCAGGTACAAGAGGGAGATGCTGGGTGCCTTACTGAGCTGACCTTTTTTATTTGAGGGTGCTGTACTGTCTGTACCAACTGCTAATAAGCTGCTTTCTTTCGGCAGGGCTGATGGCCCATCAGCCTGTTCTGGGAGATGAGCCCCTTGCTGGGGGCATCACTGCAGAGAGCTTTGTCATATCTTGACAGCATTTGACATTTCCCAGACAGTGCTTAAATCTGCCAGTTGACAATGTTTAACCCTCTCCTCCAAGAGCCTTCCAGCAGCGAGTCCTGGAAACTTTAGTTTTCCCTTCAAAAAATTGTTACCGAAAGCTTCTGTATTTTTGTCAGTTGCCAGATGCTGCCAATGAATCTCTGTCTTTGTTGCTTTGGGCTTTTACATGTTGCCTTTAATTAGGATCTGAACTTTTCTGGCCAGGAGCTGATGAGCAGCTCTCTGGTGACTGAAACCCGGAGAAGAACAGAGGTGTTACTGCTTTGCTTCTTGTGCCTGAAGGAACAATCCTTCAGCCCAGGTGGTTTTGGATGTGTCTTTTGGCAGGGGGATGCCAGGTCTCAAAATCCAGCAGCTTATGCCTGTTTAATTGTTCTGTTTCTGTCCTGCTTCTTGCCCTCAGTTTGCAGAGACAAATTAGGGCTGCGTGATGCACAGAAGTTCAGGGCAGGGTTACCTCTTCCTCCAGGACAGGATCTGCTGATTCAGCTCCGTGTTTTAAGCAGGCATCACATGCAAGATGGAGCTGAATTAACCCCCCTCCTAGCAAGAGGTGGTAGCAAGGACGGACAAGCAGTTCATTCAGAGTCCCTTAAACACTGAAGGAAATGAGATTTGTATATTTAAAATTGCTTTCTTAACCATCTTGGGGGTCTCAAGGGTTAAAGCACCTCTGGCAAGTTGGATCAATGTGTGGGAATTTAATAGTGCTCTGGACTAAGCAGGCAAATGAGTTAAACTGCACTTAGCTAATTCCTGGGGTGTGGATAATTCAGCCAGCCCTGTGCTGAAGACATCTGGGGCTTGTCTGGTCTTCACGGTGGAGGCTTCAGACTCTTTCTCAAAGACATGTTTGGTCTGCCAGTGACTGATTTACTGTCCAGGAGGCACTTGGGAATTAGCCCCTTTTGATGGAGATTGGAGGCAGACCTTTGCTTTTCTGTCCTGGACTTCAGACAGTGACTTTGACAGTGGTCCCACGTTCAGCTCGGGTCTGCTTTTTGTCATTAGGATACAGCTTTGTCTTGCCAAGGCTGAGTGAATCAAGGTCCTCTACTGTAGGAGACACCTCCAGCAAGGTACAGGACAGCCTTAAACATTGAGAAAGCTAAAACTTCCAGTAATTATGTATGGGAATGCAGCATGTAGAACTTTTTGTCCTGAGTGCATCCACGCTGCTCTGAGCTTCAGAAACCCGGTGCTTCCAGCATTGCATCTTCCTCCCTGTTCTTCCCCATGCCCCAGGCATATCTTTGTTTCAGATTTTGGCCCTGCTGTTTTGTGAGCTGGACCTCCCTGGGCTAACTTATAAAGTGATTGGAGAGACTTTGGTTCTTGACAGTGTGTTATTGCAGTGGCTGTGTAAGTCACACACAGACAAGCCCAGAGTGCAGATGTGTGGAGGTGGCAAGTCCCCGTTATTTTGCCCTGACTCCAGAAGGAAATGAACACCTTCAGTCATTTAAATCTGGATGGAAATGATTTTGCATAATTTTAATTTTAAGGGATCAGTGAAAGAATGATCCTTTGCTCTGTTCCCTCAACTGAAATGCTCTGCAGCTGTTTGAAGAGGCGAGCAGCAGCTCTGGCTTTGCTTTGATTTTTGCAGGGAAGGTTTGCTGTATTTAATCTGCTGGGCTGTTACACACAATCTCCCTGCAAGCAAGAAACTTGTAAGTGGCTGAGCTGAGATTTCCAGGTTCCTAATCAGAGGAAAGGCTATCCAGGCTAAATCATTGCTGGGCTCCTGATTGCATCCTGATAGAAAGGATTATTCATCCAGTGGAAAACAAATAGAGCTGCTGTTTTATTGAGTGTTTGGCATATATTAGCTGAGCAAATCTTGGCTCTCAGTACGTGTTACAGCTCTGCTTTTCTCAGCCCATGAGCTGGGTTCACTTACAGCTGGCCTGACTCTGGAATGTTCCCTGCTCTCTGACTTTTCCTCTGTAGTGTGGCTTAGGTGCTTTGGGAACCCTTTTCCTTCTTTCCTTTTCATCATCCCATTTACCACGTGCTCTGGGAGGTTGTTTGGGACTCAGGTCTCTCTTTACTATTTCCTGGCTGTTCCCTTTGGTTTATGTAATCGACTGCCTGGATGTTCATCCCTGATTTAGTTCTTCCCTCTTAACACTCATCTTCTCAGCCAGGTGTGTACCCAGGGCCCACCATCCCCTGGCAGTGCCCCACATACAGAGAATGGGTGTTTGTGCCATGGCCTTGAGGACTGGCCTGCTTGGTGCTGCTGGGTTGCAGGAGACCATGAAGAAGAGGTGGGTATCTCACTGCATTTGCAGGGCCAAAGATAAAGGTTGCTAAAAGAGGTTGCTTTTATTTCAGTGGGGTTATTGGTCTGTTACCCATCTTCTGGCACTCAAGTGTGCAGGGCAGATAACTCAGTGCCTCTCTGCTGGCTTTCCTTTCCACTCTGAGGCAGCTCTGGCATTTTGGTCTCAGACAATAGTTCAACAGATGGCTGCTTAAAAGCAAACAATACCCAAAATAAGAGTCTTTTCCTTCTTTTCAAGGAGCCAAGGACTTCAAAGGCATGTGCTGAGGTTACCTTGCAGAGCAAGGGCTGTGGGGTCACAGCACACAGCACGTCTTGGAGCCTGTGCTGGAGTTGACAAATGTGTGCCTGGGAACTTTAGAGGCAGGTGAAGGCTTCTGTGATCCAGAGAGGTGGGGAATCTCCATCCTGGGACATGCCTAACACTGCTGGGTGCATCCCTGCACAGTCTGTTTTCACTTGGAAATTGTCTGTTTTGTGCAGAGGGGTTGGACCACAGACATCCAAAGTCTCTTCCACCTAATTTTTTCCACAGTTGTCTGCCTTATCCTGCTGATGACCTGCACAGTCTGCTTTATGAGGAGTGAAAGGAGAGAAAAGAGCCTTATAAAACATGAAGAAATGTCTGCTGCAGGCTCTGGCGGGGAGCAGATGCCAGCTGCCTTTTCTCTTCTAGATGAATTTATTTTACTGGAAGGACAACTGCTGTTGTTGTGAATTTGCCAGATGGGCTTGTACATAGTCTTG